ATCTGAACTGGCTTCCCTGTGATATGAAAAAAATTCCTTCAAAATCCTTGTTTTTCTGAGACATACCAGGGCCAATAGCTTGTTTCCATTAGATCAGCCTGCAAAAGGGGAAATCCTTTCTCATGACATCATTCAGAGGCACCTACTGTAGCTTTAACTGTGCTATTTAATGGAAAAAAAGCCCTTTTTCAGGGTCAACCAAATGAAATACCAGAGAAAAGAGGAAATAAATGGCTAAGCCAGGCAGTCCCTATTTGCAAAGCCACTCCTGGTACCATGCTGCCAGGTGATGAAGCCTGGTGCTTCAGCACCACGTTCACATTGAAAGCCGGGTCCCTGCAGCAGCTGATTCAAATGCCTACGAAAGGAGACAAGACAAGGGGAAGTAAAAACAACAGGAAAGCTGGGAAAAGAATCTGCATCTTCTTAAAACAGCCAGCAAAGGCACCACTACACAGGAGAAATCCCCTTTTAAAAACAGACCGACTGAAAAAAAGAACCCACACATTTGAGTGAAAAACACAAATTGGGAATGAGGCACCCCTCCCTTTCCTTTTTTGTCTTATAAAATGGGCTCCAAAGGATACAAAAGCCCCCACCACAAAAGTAGGGTTAAAGACGTGGTTCTGGAAGGTGAACAGTGCAAGTCCCATGTAGGAGAAGATGAAGTTTTCTGCCAAGAAATTCAGAAGCTCAAACAACTGAAAGAGAAAAACAAATTAAAAGTGAGTTACACATAACATAGATTTAACAAAAATAACATGTTAGCCCATCCACCATGCAATAAATTCTTCTGCAGAAGCAACGCTAGTAAAATCCATCTGTTGAAAGACAGACGCACCTAATTCTGGCTAAAGGGAAGGAAAAAATATTGCATTTGAAATTCAGAGAAGCTGAAGGGAGCTGAGGAGCTCTCACCTGCTTAGTTCTGTGTTGGGACTCTGTAGATAAGTTGTTATAGGTATAATGGGCCTGTGTGATCCCACAGAAGAGCACAGCCACCACACCTGGGGAGCAGAGCATCACATTAGACTCCTGGTCATGAAAAGGGAGCTGAGCTGCATCCCAATAGTGATGGAGACTTAATGCAATAACCCCAGAACCCAGAATAATTAAACTTCTGAAAGCAGAGGCAGAGCCCCGGCTGCAGTCGATACCGGGAGAAGCAAAACTCAATAGCCCCATCATCCCAGCAGATCTCCGTCCCAGACGCAGGGCTGTGCTGGAGCTTGCCTGTAAAGCCACATGCTTGGGCCAGCAGGTTTCAGGAATGTGCTCCAGGACATCAAGAAGAATAAGCCGGTCTCCAGCAACGGGAACTCCCGAAGTTTGGTGAATTTGGTGACGTTTCAGATGGTTAAGGACAATTTGGAGAGAAGTAGGTTAAGAGACTGTCAAACCCTGTTGTGTATCACAGCAACACTACACAGCCTGCCCCTAAAAAGGTTATGGCACTGCCTGTCATTAATTTAGGCAAAAAATCACGAAACACTGCACCTGGGTGAGATGCAGCACAGTGAAAAAAGCAGCTGTTATGTAAACACTTGGAAAAAAACAACGAAAAGGATATTAAAGCTGTTACAACTCCAGTAGCTGCTCCCATTGCAAAAGATCCACTGAATATCCCCAGGAAGATCCCGATGGACTTGAACATCGCTGTGACATCAAACGTGTGGCTGTTGTCGCCTGCTGGCTGGTACGCAACAATTGAACTGAAAGAGGGAGGAAAAGCACACACACAAACAAAACACTCCTTAGTCTGGAGGGAGACACACCTCCATGGTGCTACATGAGCTTTGCAAGGTGCTACGACCACTGCAAATGCCGAGCCTGAGAAATCAGGGAGACAAAACCCGAGTCCCACACTGCAATCCCCCCGGGATCGCAGCACGCAGCAGCAGCACACCCACCCTATCCTGAGGAGTTTGGGATCCCCTTCACTCCCAGACAGCTTCCTATAGTTCAGCCACCCCTCCTAGGCAGGGCTCTGCATTTGCTCCTTCTAGATGTTAGAAAGCATCAGAGCAAATCCCATCTCTTGCATGATCTCCTGCAAATACATTTGCTAGGTGATAGTCTGTCATTTATGATGGTATTTTGGGGGTTTTGCATCAGCTGTCTATAAAGTCAGGCACTCTGGGACCACAAAGCATTCAAGTGGGAAGCCTACATTTCTCCATCGACTCCACAGAGGCGGCTGATGTGAATATCCCCTGGAGAACTCTAAGTTATGCCATTTTACTGCATTTAACGTGCACTACATTTATTCTGCGCTGCTCTGAGTTCTGAAGTGAAATATCACAGGGTAGCAAGGCAAACGGCACCGTGCCGCTTCACTACAGCAACACTATTACCTTCATCCACCAAACTCCAACAGATCTTTGTGATGAGATGGCAAATCGGTCTGCCACGCTGATCCCATCTCTGAATCTGCTCCCTCCTAACTCCTGATAAGTTGAGCCTTGCATCACCCATTCCACTGTTTTACTTGGAAAGGCTGACATATAGGGGTCCCCCACCAATCTCCTAAATCCCATTTTAATATTGAATCCTTACAGTGTTTTCTTATATGTAAACTTACCAAAAACATTAACTTCCTAGTTAGCAATCCTTTGGCTGGCTCTGTTAAAACTCCTGGATGTGAACTTTAAACAGTTGTTCTTTAACCTCCCGAGTTATGCTGGAATGCAAAGCTACTGCCTTGCGCACACATCCTGCAGCTTTCTCCCCTAACTACACACCATTTTTCTGCAACATGAATGACAATCCTCCCCTTTCCAACATGTCATGGGTCACTTCCCTTGCTAAATGTCCCTGCTTTTAATATATTTCATTTTTCTGCACTGTCTTTTACAGTGCAAGCCGCAGATTTCTCCCTGTGATTTAGCTTCTTTCGTCAGTCCCATCCTCTACTTCCTATTCACCAACGTGTTCTTATTCTGGGGTTTGGGGTTTTGAGGTTTTTTTTCAATCTAGACTGGTTTCATTTCCCCTCCCCTCCACAACCAACTGTTTGGATGTCGGTTTTGTGTTTTAACCCATTAGTTTTCCTTCTGGTTTTGCTTTTTGTATCACTAATAAGACATTATTGCCAGCTGCTCTTTGTGTGTTTTATTTCCCCTGTCCCTGCCCATGGAGCTCCCCATGGCATTTAGCCCCTGTGAAACCTCCTTTTGGAAGAAGCAGGTAGAGACCCTGCAGCTGCATTTATCCCCCTGCTCCCAAACCACAGCTCTGGCACCTCGCTGCCCACCGGCTTTCGGTTCTGGGTTCAGTTCCCCTTCAACCTGCAACCGGTTCCCTACCGCTGAGCCAGGCCAGGACAGGAGAGCAGGAGGCAGGAACACCAAGGCACGGATCTTGCTCCTCAAGCATGGGAACAGACATTCGTCCGGGACTGAAAGCAGGGAGAAGAGGAGCCTTGGGGGCACCGAGCTCCCGGCAGAAACAGCGGAGGAGCCCCAGTCTGGGGTAACGCCAGCCCCCAGCTTCTCATCCTTCCCCCGGCATGGGGATGGTCCCCGCAGCGCTCTCTTTTACCATGAACAAGGAGCTGACAGCAATTCTCGGGGCAATGACCGAACCCAAATCAGCTCCTTCATCAACACATCCCACCTGTCCAGAAACCCCCCGATTCTCCATCTTCCCAATTCACCCTTGTATCTCTTAACTGGGGAGCAGGTCTTCTGCTTGTGGGAGCAGAACCATCCCCATGTGGTTCCCCTACTTATGCCTCTGCTGTGAAACAGGCAAATGCCAAACTAAATTTAAAAAAGGGGAACCTTTAAAAAAGGAAGCTCTGGACTACTCTTGGAGGAGCTGTCCTCCCTGGAGCAAGAGGTCTTCACCTCCTCCTTGCACCCAAGATGTGGCTGTGTCCAGGTGATTCGAGGCAGGTCCTTGAGATACCTGCACCGACCGATACCCGCTGTGCTGACCGGGGCTGCCTTACGCTGCTTATGGTGACCGTGAAGACAAAGACCACGGCAAGCTTTAAAAGGGGTATGGGTTAACTGCTGAGAAGCCCCTGAGAAGTCGGCATGCTGCTGGGGCGGTCTGCACAAAAGCCTTGCAGCAAAATAACCACTGACTGCAGCTCAGAGCTGCTGGTTTGGTGCAAATTATCTTACTTCAAGGAGAGGAGTGGATTGAACTTAGCTTGTGGAAAGAGAAAGATGGGAAATCAGAGTAACAGCTACAAAGCTGGTACTGAAACAGTGCAAGAAGCAAATCACCACGCACGGTGAGGTCACCTACGTGTACAGAGATCCACCACAAATTTCATTACTCTGATGCTGAACCCACCCACTCCCACCCAGAACCTCCCGGCACAGGCTGGAAGACCCTGTCCCTTCCTCATTCGGGATCACTTCTTAAACATGACCTGGCTGTGCAACATTTACTCTCACATCAGCGGTGACACATCCAGCACAAAAGCCAGAGCAAGCAATACAAACGGTTCCAGAAACCTCAACAGAAACATTCAATTCAGTAAATACAACTCATGCGGGTGACGATACTCAGCTCACAATATGTTACTTGCTGCCTCCACCTCAGTAAAGCCCACGCAACCAGCACGCTGGAGTGACAAGTATTCCAGAAATATTTTCTGCATTAGTCTTAGCTGTACATTAACCTGTCACCATTGCAGATATTATATATTTCCAAACAAATTCTCATAATGACAACACAGTGAAAACGCAGATAAAATATGTCCTACATGCAGAGGACATAAAATATTAAAGAATATAACACATTCTTTAGAAAGCCAGCAAGTTTCCCATGTGTTCAGTCCGGGGTATTAACTCTGGCTGTAAGAAATACCATCTTCTTGATGCACAGCAAGTGGGGAGAGAAAGGGAACAGCTGCTTTACCAACTATTACCACCTAAACAAAAGCAGGTATTTGTGGATGGGAAGGCAGGCAGGTAGGAGCAAAGCCATCAGCAAGCGGTTTCAGTGGGATCCTGTGTCTGAAAAACAGACAACGGTGCTTTTTCCGTTTCAGAGGGACATAAAAACTTCCTTCTGGCTGGGTCATCCAGCCATAAAAGCAAAACAAAACTATCCATCACGCAAGGGGAAGCTGTAAGGACAACCCACAACCCCAAGCTGCAATCTGCAATGAGGAGATGCATCAGAAGGTCACTATGGTTTTTGGGGACACTTAATCTGGAAATCTGCTCTTGCAAACACCGATGCTCTTCTTTTACAGGAGCAAGGCCGAGTGGCTTACCTCAACGCCTGACATGTAACATACATAACAATTAAAAATAAAAACAAAACACACTTACGAAGACAGCACTATGGCAACGGCATCATTGAGGACGCTTTCGCCAAAGAGAAGGGCATACAGCTCAACATCAACCTGGAGTTCATGGAATATGGCAAGAACAGTCACTGACAAATAGAAAAATAGAGAGACATTCAAAAAGGTGCCGTTATTTTGGGGTAATCAAAGACAAAACGTCCCTTTTTAGAAAGCTGACTTCCTGCACGTTTGTGCCAGTCTGCTGCTATGGTGCCAGCGCGATGGTGCCAGCCAGCCCCTGTGCTCTCTTTGATAGTCTTCCTTCTGCCCTTTCAGATTTGGATTTGCTTTATCATGTCCCTCCTCCTCCTTTTACTAAAACACATCCTGGGCACTAGGTCTATTAAGTCTTTTGCAGCCAGACATGAGCAAACTCTGCTCTGAGCTTCCTGAGGGTCTGAACACGTAGGCTGGACCACGGTACCATGCTGATGCCAGCCACCCAGCTTTTGGGATGCTGTTAGCTCAGAGCGTCAGGGAGAGTCTTCCTCCACCTGCCCAAGGGCAGGAGGATGCAGGCTTGTGCAGGACGATGGCTGTCTTTTCCTTCCATCCCTGATACTCTGAGAGAAATCCTCAGATTCAACGTAGGCTGACACACTGGAAGTGCCAGCACAGATGTGTTAACGTTTCAGACCTAACTGGAAAAAAATAGGCATTGTCTCAAGCTCTGCGTAGGGCTTTCTTGTGATTTATGGCCACATGGCAGAGATCAGAGCACCCTCAAGCCCTTTCGCGATCCAGTGGCTCCAAGAAGATAATGAAAACGCAGCAGGCTTTGTGTATCAACCTTGCAAAAACAGCACAACATCTAAAGCAAGCAAGATGTAACACATGGTACATCATGCACAGCTCCGTCTGCTGCAGAGGGCTGAGCTAATTCCAACCAACTTCTCTGGAAGTCCTTTAAAACAGCATTCAGGGACTCATCTGTGCACACTGAAGGGGGTTCAGCCCATTTACACAGGGGGAAACGCTCCATTTTTACCCGTGAAATCTTCTTGCTCCTATTTGCAAGCCTGAAGAAGGGACGCAACACCGACAGCTCGCCTGCAGCATTTCTAAGCATTACTTCTACCTACGGTCCTTGCCTGGCCTCTGCCCATCTGCCATTCAGATCTACCACACTACCATCACGTCTGTGAGGTGCTCCCCACTTTGCAAATGTGTGTCCCCTCTCGATATCAACACCCCGGCTAAGTTACGGGGAGGATGCTTAACCTCACAGCCACACACGAACAGCTCTGCACTAAAGGAACCGGTGGCCTGAACACACACCCATCCAAGATATGCTCAGAGAAGCTGGAAAATCATTTTAGCTTATTTTTTAAGTTGTTTTTTTTTTAAAAAAAAAATAAAAATATCAGCAGTAATAGCCACACCACTACCTGGCAAATCTTAGGGAAACATAAAAAATAAATTATTAAAAACTCATGGGGAATGCACATCTTGCGTCTCCACCTGGCAGACAGATGTGGCTACTGCCACGTTATGCTGCAGGTTATGTTCTGCAGCATTATTCTTGCATATATGCATATACATACAATGCTCCTGATTTTGCTTTTGAAAACAGAAACGACTCATTGTTAAGATGAGCAGGTAAATGTCCCAATTCATCTGGAAATGACAGCCACTGGCACTTGTTTCAAAAGGGCAGAAGACTTGGCTTAGCCAGCCATGCAATCTCTCCCTTCCAAGCAAAACTGAGCAATATCTGCATTTAAAAAGATCTGCCAAAGCTACTGTACCATTGGGAGGGGGGCAATGCTGCCACTCCCCAGCCCCAGCACGCTGGTCTCAAACGTAGTAGCCAGGCTGCAAAGGAAGAAATTCAAGCCCTGTTCAGCAAAGAGCAGGAGGAAAGAGAGGCCTTTTTGTGGTCCTGTGTTTTTAGGTAAAGTTGGAACATGCAAATAAACAGCTACCGTGTAAAAGCAATCGTGAACTAAGTAAAATTCAGTTGGACAAGGTGTGTCTTTCATAGTTTTGATTTATAAAGTGCCTCAGTAGACCAAGATGTCACTACTGTCCTCGCTACTGCTAATTAAGATCAATTTTCAATTAGATTAGCAGCTTCCAAAATCCCACCCGAATGGAAGCGGAAGAAAATTGCTAAACTAACTAAAACTATCAACTGAACCCTCCCCACATTACACATCTTGTTCTGCATCAGCACAGCGGACCTGTTCCAAAACCCAGTGAAGTCAAGAGGGAGACTGCCTAGGACTCCACTGCCAACAAAGATTCAGGAAAGCAGAGGTTTGGCAGGTGTATTACACGTAACCGGAAGGAAATAGAAAGGCATGGAGACAAATTTGACCTCTAAGAATGTCACAAATAAATTAAACTCCAAAATTCAGAAGGAATTTGCAGGGGTTTCAGACTTTCTTCCCCTCTCCATCACAACTCAAGCCAGATCAAGATGTAGGTAAAATGAGGGAAAAAATAATTATCTGACATACCTGGGTCAGTAGCTGATACAATGGCACCAAATAGGAGGCAGTCAGTGAAGTAGAAGTCTCCTCCGAGCTGCCCAGTGACTTTCATCAGCGCCACGCAGCCATACACGACAGAGCTGGTGATTAGAAGAGGCAATTACTCATCTCTGCAGTGCATTAAAACGACATTCAAATGGGCTTGATTCCCCTGAATTTGCCAGATTAACCCCTAAAGTTATCCAAACGCAGGAAAAACGAAGAACTGTATCGCATGAGCTGAGCCTGGTAAAACCCCAGGACCACACACACCAAAGCACCCGCCACACCAGACCACAAACACGGTGCCAGCGAGGAACCGGGACTGAAACTCCTCCACGAGCATAACATGGCTAAAGAAAAGCAGCAGCCAGGCTCGGGGAGTCTCACAATCGCTTTGCAGTGTTTCCCATTAACACATTTCAGTGGGATGACCTTGAAATGGCCAAAACTTTCAGTGAGGAACAGATAATGCGGATGCTGAGTTTGCTTGAATCCACGGGACTCTCCAGTGGAAAGCACCCTACGCCAGCCTGCCTGCTGCTATTCAGAGCAGGAATCATCTAGCTCCCTCTGCGCACAGGGATAAATAATTTGAAACACAATCTGTGCTCGCTAGGCACCTGCTTCCAGCAAGTAAGGACAGGACATGCGTTTATGATCCTACCCTCTACTCTTGTGTCTCACGCTTCTTAGGGCTGTGCTTTTAATAATTTGAAGTTACTGTTTTTTTCCAGACAATCTTCAGAAAAGTGTGAAACTTTCCTTGCCATGTATATAACTATTCTGTATGGGGTGCTGAGAAAGCACTATGCAATTAGACAGCAAAAGTTTGGACAGTAAATAGTATTATTATTTACTGTTATTATTATTATATTATATTATTATTTACTGTTATTATTTACAGAGAGTCTGTGTGATCTTTCAGGGCTGAGATTAGGCGCCACAGCTCCAAGCTCAGAGCACTGCCGCTGAGCGCAGCTCAAACCCCCGCAGAAGAACCAGACCAGCTCCAGATACTCACCCGATCACCAGGCAAGAAATTGCAGTGCCGAGAAAGGCATATGCCAGGATGGATCCCAAGTTTCTGAAGAAGTGCCTCTAGAAGGAGGAGAAAAGAAAGAAAAATAACTATATTTTGCTAACAATTTATTTCAAACCTGCACAGGCACCCACAGTGTTCGTAGCAACTTGGACCTAGCTCAGACACCACGAGCTGGACAAGCAAGGCTGAACACTGCCCAGCACAACGGTGTACACTGTACACTAGACCAGCAAATGTTAATGCAGCGTTAATAAACATGAACATATCATTTTCTTGGACCCATGTATTTAATAAGGTGCTGTTCCAAGTCCTGGGAACTGATTTCCTAACCCAGCAGCATTCCTCCTTCGTTCTCCCGCAAGGTAAACAGGATCATTTTCCTCTCCTTCCAAATCAGCATTTCAGAGAGCTGCTGCTTTCTAAAACCTTCCCACCCTCCTATGTGTTTCAAAAGCAAGGATGGCTGAAATGGCCCAGCTGACCTCAAAAACCCCTGTGCAAACCCGTGCTGGAAATGGCTGAAGTCGCTGACCCTTCCCGGGGCAGAGGGACAGATGAGACTGACTGGAGCACTCCCAGCCCTGCTTCCTACAGTCCTGCATGTACTGGGGAAAACCGTACCCAGCGCCGCAGCCTCGGCCTGCTGAGCAAGCATTAAAGCACGCTCAAGTAATAAAAATGCTCTGGAGGTAGAGGAACTAAAAATGTAGGTGCTGTAAAGGCACGTACCCTTTTCAAGCTGTAGCCTGCATAAAATATAATTGGAGGAAGCAAAATGTTGAAAAATACTTCAGGATCAAAAGTCACCTGTTAAGAAAAAAAAGAAAACCCACAGTTAAATGGTTTGTTAAGACTTCGCAAGACAAAATGAAAATAAGAATGTCATATAAAATACATGGAGGAAACCCTGGACCTCTGCCAGATGAAATGCTGTCGAGTCAACGCTGAGGATGTGTCTGCTATCTTCTGGAGACACAGACTAGAGTCTAAACAGCTTAAATTAAGATCTGCTGAAACTAGAGTTTCATTACATTGTGTTCAACTTATAATTTGTAGCTGATCACAATTTAACCCAAGTTAAAAATCAAATCAAATCAAATAAAATCAAATAAAATCAAATCTTAAATCTAAAACTTAATCCAGCAGATACAGGACCCATTCCCACGGAAGGAGTGGGGAGCATCGCTCACCTCTCCACTCGCTGACTCCCTTACCTTTCTCAGCATCTCATTATCCTGGACATTATTGAGCTCCTGGGCGCTGATTTCTCCCTTCAGGGTGTACTCATAGTACTTCCCGCTGACATTCACCAGCAGCGTGGCAGGACTGGTCTGTACTTGGCAGCTCAGCGTCACGTTGTTGACGTCGCTGGGGACATGGATGCCATAGCGCAGGACCACCCCGACCAGGACCCCTGGGGAGAGACGTGTTGGTGAGACGAGCCACAGCAAACTCCTGGGATGATCTCTTTGAGCACGGATGCAGCATCAGGCATGTCAGGATCCCGACCCTCTGCTCAGCTGCTGAGCACAACCACCATCCAAATAATTGCCTGCGCAATATTAAACCATTCGTGTCCTCCCATGAGCCATGCAAACGCTCCACGCTCGTGCAGACTTTCTAACACCAGTCATGGACTGGTCCCGAAGGCTTTTTTAATTACCCAGCAATCAGTCAGAACCTCACTCTAGTGCAGCAAACAGCCGACACTGAGAGCATGCTGGTTTTCTTACGGCGAGCACCCTGGCATTGCTGGTACGCAGCTGGGAACTGGGGCAAGGCGCTGCTCACATGCCCAAACTATGCATGTTGCACCTGGAAACCTGATGGTATCACGTTTTGCCACTACAGAAATACATTAAACCCTTCATTTTCGTAGGGGATTAAAAAAGGTACCAAGCAACCATCACAAATGCTTTGAGGACAGTGAGCATCCTTCATAAGAGGCTGCAGCACCATATAGCCTCCTCCCGCACCAGGAAGCTTTCACAACGCACAGCAGCAATCTCCATTTTATAAAAAATGTGAAAGTTTTGCCTTCCAGGCCGACCACCCGGGTCTGCTCCTCACTCCCTGCAAGCTTCATCTCCCTACCACGAGCAGCAGCCCCAGGGCAGCCCCAGGAGCCAACGCTGCCTGCGGCTCAGCTGCTGCGCAGGAGTATCGTGGGGTTAATTTGCAAGTCAGCAATTTATACAGCACTTTTCATTTGCAGCACAACTGATGAGTTGTGCTCTGAGGCCTCGCATCCAGATTAACGGCATTCACACAGCCCAGGCTCCTCCGGCTCCTTCTCACCCGCACGTTGTGCCAAGGGCTCCTGGCAGAGCTTTTTGACATCTGCAGGCTGGGGAGGAGGGATGTCCCACAAGACACCTTTCCACGTAGCCTTCAGCACAAAAGGGTTTGGAAACTCCTTGATTAAGGCAGTGCTGAGCAGCTACAGAAATCCTGGATCTTAACCCCATCTCTGAACCACACATTTATGAAAAGCTTTCAGGCACGTGGGAACTAAATGGAGACACTCAGAAGGCTTCTCCATTTGCCTCCCAGGTCACTCCTGCTTCTTTACTGCTGCCTTAATTAAGATCTGGCTCTGTGCTTTCCTACAGGCAGGGCATAACCTCGACCGAAGGGAACACCAAACTCTTCCTCCGCTGCCATCTCACGGGAGCAGAGCCTGAGCAGGAGCTCTGCCATGGCTGGGCAGGAGACTGCAGGGCCCCAGCACATTCAGCATCTCCTGCAGCCAGTTCCCGATCTGCTGCCCAGTTTTTGCCTTCTCTTCCCTTGACAGCAGTTTGCCAGGACGAGATTTGCTCATTTTGCCGACGGCCTGAAGAAAAGCCCCCACCTCCCATCCCAGGGGATGTCATGCACAGCAGGGCCACCTAAGCGCACATCCAGGCCATGAGCAGAGGCAGAAGAATCGGCTGCAAGCAGAGACTCACCACTGCTGACCCATCACACCGGTGACACAGATGGCTCATAGAATCATTTGGGCTGGAAGGGACCTTTAGAGGTCATCTAGTCAAGACCCCCTGAGGTAAGCAGGGCCATCTCCAACTAGACAAGGTTGCTCAGAGCCCCATCCAGCCTGACCCTGAATGCCTCCAGGGATGGGGCTTCCACCACCTCTCTTCCAACACCTCTGCTTTTACACCAGCATCACTAACAGGGGACACCAAAGAGGAATCCTTTTGCTTACTTTTCTGCTAGCCTCTTTGTTCCTGTGATCTTCCAGTGCTCCAGCAATAAAAGTACAGAAACGAAGGCAAGGATGTCAAGAACATCAAGATAACACAGCAGGTATTTACAAGAGCATGTGGCAGGGGAGTGCGTGGCACCACAGCATCGGGACAAAACACCCAGGTTTCTTTTCACTCAGAAGATGATGACCCCTCAGGTACCGTGGCAGACAACCAAAACTCTTCACTGGGATAAAGCGAGCTTCAAAGGGTTATTTATATCTGCTTATGGCTATTAAGCAGCTTTAAACAGTTACAGTAAGAATTCAGATGAAAGGGAGGAAAGCCAGACTGGAGAGCTCATTTACTCTCTACCCTCCCAACTGCTCCTCCACGCCTACGGAGCAGCCAGCACCAGGTCCACCGCACCCTGCAGCCCTCCAGAGCTACCCAGGGTGGCTTTTAAAAAGTCTTTTTTTTTAAAAAAAAAAAAAAAAAGGTTGTCTTTAGAGCTTCACACAGAAGTCAGAAACTTCCAGCAGCAGCAGCTGCCTGTCTTTTCTCAGATGGAAACCCATCCAGTGACCCCTTTAATGCCGGGGCTCAGCACTGAGATGAGAGGCTCCGCAGGAGGAAGGAGGGACGGACGGACAGACAGACGTCACTGCTGGGAATTCAGAAGGGATCCTGACTCACCCGCCTCTCTGCTATTAATCCCTGTCCCAAAGCAGCGCTACATCTGATAGCTCTCCTGCTCGTCCTCGCCGTCTCGCTTACCCGGGCAGCTGTTCCCAGCCCCATACGCCGGCCGTGCTCCGGCCACAGCTGAATTCCCACTCTGGCCAGGAATAGGATAAGGGAAAAAGGACAGATAAGCCCACAATATCTGCCAAGATCACTGCGCCTGGGGCTCCCAAAACCAGGCATTTTATCTTGCCCTCTCACACGCTGCCTGGGAGGCTCCCAGAGCTCTCCGGACGGGGGTGGGAAAAGACGCCCATGTGCAAATACACGTCCGCACAAAGAGCTCTCGGGCACCAAGCGTGAAGCAGCCAGCATCGCACCAGCGGCTCCCGACAGAGATACCATCGGAGTTACTCACAGGGACAGCATGCTGCTGCTCTGCTTAAAGCCAATTACTCTGCCAACATTAAGATGACTCCACCAGCTCCTGCCCAACAGTGGATCTCTGATCAATCCTCACCACCTAACGATGCTCACTTGGGACAAACCCGACTCAGATGCCAAGGTTTTTCAGACACTAAACCCAGTCCTGGGCTCAGGCTACCTGGACCAAGCCCAAGGGACCGTGTAGGTCCTCCTCCTTCTGATGGTCTCTTAGGAAATGGTTCAAACTCTCTTGGCACTCAAAGGGCCATCCTAGCAGCAACCCGTGAGCCGCTCCGCCAGTATCGACATGCTTTTGCAGCCAAAAGTTTTACAAAACTGAGCTGTGGGACGGAGCAGAGCAGAGGGTACCTGACACCGCGGAAGCTGCCAGCCGAAAGCTGCAAGGAGTAGAGAAGCTAAAGGCAAAGCTGGGAAATTAATTGAGTTCTTTTATGCAAAGTGCAAGAGATTATTTTCATTGCATTTCTCCCAACTTCATTAAAAAGAACAAAAGCCCATGGGCTTTTTTTTTTTTAGGTGCTGTTGAACATTTCCGAGGTAAGGTTTTAAATGAAGACTAATATATTACCAGCCAGGCACTTAACAACAATGGAAGCACACAGGATCCCCAGGCAAGCATTAATCTGGACACCAAAAGGAAAGAAAAATGTAGCGAGCAAGTGAAGACATCCCAACAACAAGCAATTCAGACGTACTCAAGGGGCCAAGCGGGAACAAGTACAAGGAAACTAAACTTCTAGAGAAGCTCCTGCCACATCCACCATCAGACCCTGAGAAGAACCGAAACAAAATTGTTCAATTAATCATCGTAAATGTTGAGTAGCTCACATGCGGGAACCTCATTTTAAACACTGAAATGAAACTTAGGGGCTACTAAACACCTATTGTCTATCACCCCAAAACGACTCCAGCCTGTGTCCAGCTTTTGAACATCAACTCTGAGCTGACAGTGTGATTTATAAGATATAAATCCACCCCGAGCAAGAGCTTATAATTTACAGTAAAAAACAGACACCAAGGAAACTCTGATGTATTTCAGCAAGAAGAGAGGTATGCAAAAGTTTTATTTGACTTAGTTGTTGGGGGGTTTTTTAATTAGACAAGCTTTTACAAATTGCTTCACTTGCCCAAATTTCAGGGTCTGTTTTGCAGCCTGCCTGCTGCAGCACTTCCACATTTTCAGCAGACTTCCCCAGGGCTGAGAGCATCGCAGGGGCTGAAAGCATCGCAGTGGGATGGGGACAGCAAAGCAGAAGCAGGACCTGCTTTTCTCCCTGCAGCTTTTAAGTTGTGGCTGTAAAACAAGAGCATCTCACCCCTCCTTGGGAAATTACACATCCCTTTTCCTACAGCAGTTGTCACAACCTGAGAAGCAAATGCCAAAAGCCTCGATAGCAGGGAAAATCTTGGGATTTTCTGCATGACCAGATGGGTGACATTACTGACTTTGCCAGCAATTCTCTAAGAACAGTCTGCAAAAGAGCAGACAGAAAAGATGTGTTTTAGAGATCGGCAGGAGACCGAAACGACCCGGGTCATCCTCTGAGAACAGGAGGAGCACTCAGGTGGGTCAGGGAGAACAGAGGACCAAGAGGAAGCAAACTGCAGAAGAAGAACAAGGTTAAGGGCAAGTTTGAAAGCATGAAAGGAATAGAAAGTCTGGGTGTGGGCGAGCTCCGGGGCAGCAGGAGAAGGAAGACCTTCCATGCTGCAAGCACATGCTCCCACAGCACAGCTCCCGTCCCGCGGAGGGGACCACCCCTGCCCCGGGCAGGAGGCCAGCAACGCCCGCACCTGCCTCAGCGGTGGCTTGCAGGAATCTGAAAAGGCAGACCAGTATTTTGTGCCTCTGGGCTGACGCAGGTGTCTCCACCCCTTCGTTTGGAAGGGCACTTGCAACTAACTGAAACTTAGGATCACAAAAGCCAACGGCCCAAACGGGTCAAGTCACAGCCTTCAGAGCAAAGCTTTCTGCTGGGCGGGGGACTCGGCCACGTTGCTGCTCTAACCAAGCTTGGTCACACATCACCCACAACCAGCAAGGGCAAGGACAGCACCGAGAGGAGACACAAACCACAGCACTCAGCAGAAGACACCTTTTCAATCCTAAACTCAACAAATCTTGTCTAGGTAAGGATCTATGTCTGCGTTAATCACTCCCCCAGCACAACTCCCAGTCTTACTTTGGTTGAACTCCAAGTCATCCTAGATGACACGGGCAGAGCCGTATATGGCATCCCATACAATGGTTCAGGCCACTTCACGAGGCCACATCACCTCCGTAAATCACAGGCCACCGTTAGAATCCAACCAGCTACGGACCTGCTCCCCTGACCCACGGCCTCCCTCCACGTCTTGTGGGAACATGTGGGGCACCTCACCGAGAGCTCCTGTCACAGCAGGAGAAGGAACCCCAAAAGTAGGAGCTCGTGCGCACAGGACCCTCAAGCAGTAGGATTTAAGTAGGACTGCTGGCCCTGCGGGTCCCTGAGCACGGCAAAAGGTGGGAGCATCTCCCCAAATGGCTTCCCCACTCTTCTTGGACAGCTTCTGGAAATTCAGGCGCTCTAAACATAGGGTGGAAACACAACCTCTGCTCCCAGCACGCAGGATGCAACGCTCCTGACCAGCGCAAAGCCTGGTCTATGCTGCCCCAAGTCTCCACTCTCAGCCCTGGAGCAGATAAGCGGGACTTGCCGGCACTCGGTGACATGGTTTCGAGGCCGCTTGGCACATGGTAGCCCCCAACCCCACCAGCTTCACCCATGCTGCAGCCACCCTGCGAGGCCGCCTGGGAAAACCCAACCAGTTCCTCACTGCCAGAGATTTCGGAGTAACGCTGCCCTCGAGAGCCCTCAATATCCAGGGTTTGGAAAACAACCAACCCTCCCTCCAGCAACACCCAGACAATGCTCAGCACGGGGTGAGCCGGGATGGGGGTCCAGCCCGGGGGTTCCAGCGAGACAGGAGCACCCGGCTGCAGCGGGGAGGGGATGCGGTTCGTCCCCCGGGATCCCCGCACCCCTTTGCCCATGCGGACGTCCACGAAACGAGCCCTTTCATAGCCCCTTGGCAAGGGGCCACCAGGCACCGACGAAGGGAAGGGCGGGCTGCTGGTCCCCACTGGTGGTGCCATGAAAGCGGGCGGCCAGGTGCCAACCCAGGCGCTCCAGTTGGCCCAGCGCAGAGCCAGGACTGGTTCGGATGGGG